TATATATATATATATATTATATATATATATATGAATGAAAACTCACACCCCAGAAGTGACTCGCACCCATACTCCCAGAAGCAACGCAACTGGGTAACTACAGGGCTAGCCAGAACGCACTTCTCAGCCTACTATGCAAGGCCTGATTTGCCTAATAAGCCAAGTTTTCATGAATTAATGTTTTTTCGACTACCTAACCTACCTAACCTAACCTAACCTAACTTTTTCAGCTACCTAACCTAACCTAATCTATAAAGATAGGTTAGGTTAGGTTAGGTAGGGTTGGTTAGGTTCGGTCATATATCTACGTTAATTTTAACTCCAATAAAATAAAATTGACCTCATACATAATGAAATGGGTAGCTTTATCATTTCATAAGAAAAAACTTTGAGAAAATATATTAATTTAGGAAAACTTGGCTTATTAGGCAAATCAGGCCTTGCATAGTAGGCTGAGAAGTGCGTTCTGGCTACTAGGTACGACATATATATATATATATATATATATATATATATATTATAATATATATATATATATATAATATATATATATATATATATTTATATATATATATATAGTCGTACCTAATAGCCAGAACGCACTTCTCAGCCTACTAATCAAGGCCCGATTTGCCTAATAAGCCAAGTTTTCATGAATTAATGTTTTTTCGTCTACCTAACCTACCTAACCTAACCTAACCTAGCTTTTTTTGGCTACCTAACCTAACCTTACCTATAAATATAGGTTAGGTTAGGTTAGGTAGGGTTGGTTAGGTTCGGTCATATATCTACGTTAATTTTAACTCCAATAAAAAAAAATTGACCTCATACATAGAGAAAAGGGTTGCTTTATCATTTCATAAGAAAAAAATTATAGTAAATATAATAATTCAGGAAAACTTGGCTTATTAGGCAAATCGGGCCTTGAATAGTAGGCTGAGAAGTGAGTTCTGGCTACTAGGTACGACATATATATATATATATATATATATATATATATATATATATATATATATATATATATATATATATATATATATATATATATATATATATATATATATATATATATATATATATATATATATATATATATATATATATATATATATATATATATATATACTAAAAATAAATAGATATACGCAATATAATTTAAAATATATGACAATAACAATTTCAGTTCATAACAAAGATTTGAAATTTCTAATCTCTATGTCTCATGCACGTCTCTCTCTCTCTCTCTCTCTCTCTCTCTCTCTCTCTCTCTCTTCGCTAGCTGGCGACTGGCACTTTTGTTGAGGTCTGGAAGTAACTAGCTTTAAGGGCCTTGTAATGAGGTAACTAGTAACTACATTACGGGTCCTTGTGTTTGTGTCCGATAAATATAATGAATGGAAATTTTATATTAATTTAACTAAGGGGTCGAGGTCTCTTTTGAAAGATGAATAATTTTTAGAATGTTTCCTCCGCGGTCTCTACGCCTCAGGCTGCCCCATTTGCCGGCATTTTGGACAAAACTTAAATTATTTGGCATAGTTTCTGATTGTTAACTCCAAACAGTCGTTATTTTTAGCCTTTTTTCGTTGTCTGTCTTTTTTCTCGTTATCTGTGCAACTCTAACTTCGTTTTCCCATTCATCTCTCTCTCTTTCTTTCCTTCCCTCCACCAATTCTTTCTACCCCTTACATTCAAGTAAATGTCATCATTAGCATTTCACTTCCTTCCAGTCAATCCCTCCCTCTGCCTTTCTCTCTCTGTTTTCGTTAATATTAATTCCCCTCTCTTCTGTTCTTCACTCACCCTCTCAAAACACAAGTGTGAACCACACAAGTGTGAACACAAACTCACCCTCAGCAAGCGGATGGCCCCCGTCAGAGGGTCAATGGCGAAAGCGGACCTTGATTCGTGGCTGGAGACGCCATCACCAGAGAGGCTATACCGCAGGAGTCCATACTCTCCCGCGTCGCCGTCTGTAGCAGTCACCTGCTGCACGAGGCAAGACAACCTCTGAAACTCATTATAGTCCTTATGGAGAGCTGAATGATGGTTCAAGGGATGTGAGGTTACCGTCCAAGGGTTACCGTTGTAGTGGGTTACCATGTGTTACCGTTGAAGTGGGTCACCGTGTGTTACCGTTGTAGTGGGTCACCGTGTGTTACCGTTGTAGTGTGTTACCGTTGTAGTGTGTCACCGTTGTAGTGTGTTACTGTTGCAGTGTGTTACCGTTGCAGTGTGTTACCGTTGTAGTGTGTAACCGTTGTAGTGTGTTACCGTTGCAGTGTGTTACCGTTGTAGTGTGTTACCGTTGTGTGTGTTACCGTTGTAGTGTGTTACCGTGAAGTGTGTTACCGTTGTAGTGTGTTACCGTTGTAGTGTGTTACCGTTGAAGTGTGTTACCGTTGTAGTGTGGTTGTAGTGTGTTACCGTTGTAGTGTGTTTGTAGTGTGTTACCGTTGAAGTGTGTTACCGTTGTAGTGTGTTACCGTTGTAGTGTGTTACCGTTGTAGTGTGTTACCGTTGTAGTGTGTTACCGTTGTAGTGTGTTACCGTTGTAGTGTGTTACCGTTGTAGTGTGTTACCGTTGTAGTGTGTTACCGTTGTAGTGTGTTACCGTTGTAGTGTGTTACCGTTGTAGTGTGTTTGTAGTGTGTTACCGTTGCAGTGTGTTAGTGTGTGTTACCGTTGTAGTGTGTTACCGTTGTAGTGTGTTACCGTTGAAGTGTGTTACCGTTGTAGTGTGTTACCGTTGTAGTGTGTTACCGTTGTAGTGTGTTACCGTTGTAGTGTGTTACCGTTGTGTGTTACCGTTGTAGTGTGTTACCGTTGTAGTGTGTTACCGTGTGTTACCGTTGTAGTGTGTTACCGTTGTAGTGTGTTACCGTTGTAGTGTGTTACCGTTGTAGTGTGTTACCGTTGTTGTGTAACCGTTGTAGTGTGTTAACCGTTGTAGTGTGTTACCGTTGTAGTGTGTTACCGTTGTAGTGTGTTACCGTTAAAGTGTGTTACCGTTGTAGTGTGTTACCGTTGTAGTGTGTTACCGTTGTAGTGTGTTACCGTTGTAGTGTGTTACCGTTGTAGTGTGTTACCGTTGTAGTGTGTTACCGTTGTAGTGTGTTACCGTTGTAGTGGGTTACCGTGTGTTACCATTGTAGTGTGTTACCGTTGTACTGGGTTACTGTGTGTTACTGTTGAAGTGGGTTACCGTGTGTTACCGTTGTAGTGTGTTACCGTTGTAGTGTGTTACCGTTGTAGTGTGTTACCGTTGCAGTGTGTTACCGTTGTAGTGTGTTACCGTTGTAGTGTGTTACCGTTGTAGTGTGTTACCGTTGTAGTGTGTTACCGTTGTAGTGTGTTACCGTTGTAGTGTGTTACCGTTGTAGTGTGTTACCGTTGTAGTGTGTTACCGTTGTAGTGTGTTACCGTTGTAGTGTGTTACCGTTGCAGTGTGTTACCGTTGCAGTGTGTTACCGTTGCAGTGTGTCACCGTGAACAATCAAAACAATCTTGGTTCATAATGAGGCTAGCGGCCGCGATCGCTTTCATTAGTACAGTCAAAAGTAACCAAGTTGAGGTAAGGAAGATGTGAAGGGGAGCAACAACAACCTTATGTAATCCAAATGTTGCCATAAGATACCAAAGCGTTGTACATTGAATGTTGTTTAATTTTAACACTTTTGGGTCATGTGGTAATAGTGTCTACCTTGTGCGTAGCGCCCGGGGTTCAATAGCCTCACGGCCCGGTCTCCGACTTTGCCACTCATCATAGTGGTACTCCATCATATTGTCCTTATGATGGAAAATAGATCACTAAGAAACTTATCGACCATCATTTGCTTCTGATCAACATGAGCCAACTTCCCAGCACTTGATATTTTCTTATTTATTATTTTCGTATAAATTTCTATACATTGCCTCTGTGTTTAAAGACTCAGATGAAACCCCCATTCTCTTGTACCACCGTTCTCTACTCACAATCGGGGATTCCGGGTTCGATCTGCGGGTAGGGCAGAAATGCTAGAAAACCCTCAGTTTTCTAATCCAATCCTAAGCATCACAGTAACGTTTGATCTAATTATGGTAACATCACATTTTTATCAATTGCTCACATTACTTCTCAAAATATTGTTACTTCTCATTCCACTTAATATGTACTTAACGTCTTGTCATGACCTTCAATTACCCTTATCTAAAGTAGTGCTCTCAATAATGAGGCATCTCAAATTCCCTCCAAATTGTTGATGTAGCTCAGAGGAGAACTGTTGTTTAGGGCACATGTCACACCTCACATCCAAGATGATTTAATTGATCTGATGCTGCAAAGATTTCCTCTAGCTGTCTTTTGCCACAAGTTCCACGAAACTTGATCTCAGACACTTCAAGTTTAAGTCGGTAATACGTACACTTCATTAGGTCGTCTTAATTCCGGTAGACATTTCTAGATTATGAACTAGAACGCTATGCTGTCACACTTGTTCATCACCTCTTTTAAGGTCAACATTCACCCTATATCTTCCCGGGCTCCTTTGAACTCCAGTCGTGGTGCTATATCTTTCCATCTCAAAAGCTATAAATTATTGAATACTCAACGTTGAATCTGCCTTAGACTAGTGGAGGCTATGCCTCTGTCATAGCCTAAATTATGCAATAAAAGTTTGTATGTAAGAGAAAAAGACAAAACAGCATATGCGAAAAGACCAACAGGAAAAAGGACAAATTACAACGTCAATAACTGTGATAGGGAGATATTGATATTCTTACGTCCACATCTGTCTCCCCATCTCTGAGACTGACGAAAAGACGGGGAGACAGATATGGCCGTAAGAGCTTCTCACCGTAAGGATGGTCTTAGGTAGATGTCTGTCGTCCTCCTCGGTGATCTGCGTCTCATGGAGCGCCCTGGGGAAGACGGGGGCGTGGTCGTTCTGGTCGACCACACGCACTACCACCCGCGCCTGGCTCCTGGCCTCCCCAGCCCGCGCCTCCACCACAAGCTCGTGCTGCAGGAAGGAGAGAGAGCAGGAGCTGGTGATTTTTATCTCGCGGAAAACCGCGAGGCAAACGGGGGTTGTGGTCGTTGTGGTCCACCACCTCACTCGTCTAACTTCGTGCCTTCGCTGTCCGCTCCTACACCAATAGCCCCTGGCTACGGGAAGGATCTAAGTTAAGTGTCGCAACAACAGTTTAGATACTAGGTGAGGCATTGGTAGTGAGACGTAATGGTTCGTAAAATGTTCAGAAAAAAATTAAGAAAATTGTTAGGATTTATAACACAAAAATCCTTGAAAAAACGTAAAAAAAAGGGATGCTCAAATATATCTAACCCTTCCTGTATATTTTACAAATAGCACAACTATTAGAAAAAAATACAATCATAAGCAATTGATATTTTTGTAATTACTTCAGCATGCATAAATTAAGAAATAAGCATATATTAATATCTCATTAGAAAATAAATTGTTTTCTATTGAAACAATAAAAAACAATTACGTAAGATCCAATTGCAGAACAGTTCGCTAGAGCCAAGTTCACAACATTTACTCAACAGCCAAGTCCACAACAGGTTACACAACAACCAAGCCCACAACAGGTTACGCAACAACCAAGCCCACAACAGGTTACACAACAACCAAGCCCACAACAGGTTACACAACAACCAAGCCCACAACAGGTTACGCAACAACCAAGCCCACAACAGGTTACGCAACAATCAAGCCAACAGGTTATGCAAGAACCAAGCCCACAACAGGTTACACAACAACCAAGCCCACAACAGGTTACGGAACAATCAAGCCAACAGGTTATGCAAGAACCAAGCCCACAACAGGTTGCACAACAACCAAGCCTACAACAATTACGCAACAACCAAGCCGACAGGTTACGCAACAACCAAGCCTACAACAATTACGCAACAACCAAGCCTACAACAGTTTACGCAACCACCAAGCCGACAGGTTACGCAACAACCAAGCCTACAACAATTACGCAACAACCAAGCCCACAACAATTACGCAACAACAAAGCCAACAGGTTACACAACAACCAAGCCTACAACAGGTTACCCAACAACCAAGCCCACAACAATTACGCAAGAGCTAAACTTGAAACAATAGCGCTTCACAATAAGGTCCATACTCCTTGAATAAGAAAGTTTCCCCTTGAAAATGACAATTACCCTCCTAGATCCGATATCTCCTAATGAAGCGTTCATATTGTGTTATTGAAACCTCGTACGATCACGTCAGTCATGTACCATTGGACTAAACCAATATTTGAATGGATGATTGTTCCCGGCAGCCTCGTCATAGGCCACGTGTGTCAGACCCAAGCACGCTGAGGCATATACTGACTAATACGTTATATTGTTTGGCCAAAAAATGTAGCATACGAGGTGGTCTTTATTAACGTACCTGCAATCCTTCATATTGAAGGGTAAGATAAGGTAATTATGAGCAGAAAACACATAGCCAAGATGTATAATATATAAATATATATATATATATATATATATATATATATATATATATATATATATATATATATATATATATATATATATATATATTTATATATATATGTCGTACCTAGTAGCCAGAACGCACTTCTCAGCCTACTATGCAAGGCCCAATTTGCCTAATAATCCAAGTTTTCATGAATTAATTGTTTTTCGACTACCTAACCTACCTAACCTAACCTACCCTAACTTTTTCGGTTACCTAACCCAACCTAACCTATAGAGATAGGTTAGGTTAGGTTAGGTAGGGTTGGTTAACTTCGGTCATATATCTACGTTAATTTTAACTCCAATAAAATAAAATTGACCTCATACATAAGGAAATGGGTAGCTTTATCATTTCATAAGAAAAAAATTGGAGAAAATATATTAATTCAGTAAAAATTGGCTTATTAGGCAAATCGGGCCTTGCATAGTAGGCCGAGAAGTGCATTCTGGCTACTAGGTACGACATATATATATATATATATATATATATATATATATATATATATATATATATATATATATATATATATATATATATATATATATATATATATATATATATATATATATATATATATATATATATATATATATATATATATATATATATTATTAAATATGACCGAAAAAGTAAGATTAATAATTCTAACACGAATTTTCGCGATCTTTCGTACGTTTCTTTTCACTGTTGGTGGTAATTCAAAAATCAATTCTCTAAAAATTAATTTTTATTTCTAGTCTGACGCGACACTTGAGCGTGTTTCGTAAAACTTATTACATTTTCAAAGCCTTTAGTTTACACATACACAACTGAATAGAACTTACTGTCTTAGTTGAACTTAGTTGTCTCTGAAGAGACAACTAACACAACACCTATACCCCCTATTAGACTATTTTACAGGAACTTCTTTTCCACAGCTCATAAAACGGAGGAAAGGGTCCTGAAAGATATTATTATTAGAAACGTTATCCCTACAGACAAAAATCAGAGAATACAACTGACGATTTACTATAAAGCCAGAAAAAACGGCCAGCCTACTCATGAGAAACTCTCCAGACACAAAGCAGAACGCTTTAAAAGAGACCAACGTCGTCTATGCCTTCAAATGCCCTCTTGGAGACTGTAAGCTCCAAATAACCCAGTATATAGGCGAGACAACAACATCTCTTTCTAGGCGTTTAACGATGCATAAGCAACAGGGCTCCATTAAGGAACATATAATCTCTTCCCACAACCAAACCATCGCCATAGAAATCCTAGTAAACAACACAGAAATCATCGATAGATACAGCGATAGCAGGCGGCTTGACGTCTGCGAGGCACTACACATCAAGAAGTCAACACCAGCAATCAACAGCCAATTAATGCACAACTATATTCTACCCACCTCAAGACTCCGCTCCAATATAGAAGCATCAAGAAATATGGACCAATAGGCTTTCTACAATCACTTCCATTCAATACCCATTGTTTCGTGTTCTGTCTTGTGTTTAGGAATTCAATACCCTATTAATACCACCTCACCCCATCCTCCTCACTCAAATGTAGATATAAACAAATCGAAGATGTGTTAGTTCTATTCAGTTGTGTATGTGTAAACTAAAGTCTTTGAAAATGTAATAAGTTTTACGAAACGCGCTCAAGTGTCGCGTCAGACTAGAAATAAAAATTAATTTTGGAGAATTGATTTTTGAATTACCACCAACAGTGAAAAGAAACGTACGTAAGATCGAGAAAATTCATGTTAGAATTATTAATCTTACTTTTCGGTCATATTTAATTATATATATAAGCCTATACTTGCATAAACCACAAGTGAAGATTAATAATCTTTGGACAACACCCACCAGTGGGACTCGAACCCAGAAAGCACAACTACCTTCCAGTAGCTGCCATAACTAGTATGCTTTAACCCACTACACCATCAGACCCTACAAAAGAAGTAGAGAGTTCGAGATATATATACATCCCAAACATCTCCACTTCCCGAGGGCACCAGATGAGTGTGGGGTCAGTCTGCATTTTTCGTCAAGCCACTGTCAATGTGAGAGAACTCGTGTCCAGCTTATAAGCCAATACTTGCATAAACCACAAGTGAAGATTAATAATCTTTGGACAACACCCACCAGTGGGACTCGAACCCAGAAAGCACAACTACCTTCCAGTAGCTGCCATAACTAGTATGCTTTAACCCACTACACCATCAGACAATACAAAAGAAGTAGAGAGTTCGAGATATATATACATCCCAAACATCTCCACTTCCCGAGGGCACCAGATGAGTGTGGGGTCAGTCTGCATTTTTCGTCAAGCCACTGTCAATGTGAGAGAACTCGTGTCCAGCTTATAAGCCTATACTTGCATAAACCACAAGTGAAGATTAATAATCTTTGGACAACACCCACCAGTGGGACTCGAACCCAGAAAGCACAACTACCTTCCAGTAGCTGCCATAACTAGTATGCTTTAACCCACTACACCATCAGACAATACAAAAGAAGTAGAGAGTTCGAGATATATATACATCCCAAACATCTCCACTTCCCGAGGGCACCAGATGAGTGTGGGGTCAGTCTGCATTTTTCGTCAAGCCACTGTCAATGTGAGAGAACTCGTGTCCAGCTTATAAGCCTATACTTGCATAAACCACAAGTGAAGATTAATAATCTTTGGACAACACCCACCAGTGGGACTCGAACCCAGAAAGCACAACTACCTTCCAGTAGCTGCCATAACTAGTATGCTTTAACCCACTACACCATCAGACCCTACAAAAGAAGTAGAGAGTTCGAGATATATATACATCCCAAACATCTCCACTTCCCGAGGGCACCAGATGAGTGTGGGGTCAGTCTGCATTTTTCGTCAAGCCACTGTCAATGTGAGAGAACTCGTGTCCAGCTTATAAGCCAATACTTGCATAAACCACAAGTGAAGATTAATAATCTTTGGACAACACCCACCAGTGGGACTCGAACCCAGAAAGCACAACTACCTTCCAGTAGCTGCCATAACTAGTATGCTTTAACCCACTACACCATCAGACCCTACAAAAGAAGTAGAGAGTTCGAGATATATATACATCCCAAACATCTCCACTTCCCGAGGGCATCAGATGAGTGTGGAGTCAGTCTGCATTTTTCGTCAAGCCACTGTCAATGTGAGAGAACTCGTGTCCAGCTTATAAGCCTATACTTGCATAAACCACAAGTGAAGATTAATAATCTTTGGACAACACCCACCAGTGGGACTCGAACCCAGAAAGCACAACTACCTTCCAGTAGCTGCCATAACTAGTATGCTTTAACCCACTACACCATCAGACCCTACAAAAGAAGTAGAGAGTTCGAGATATATGACTGACCCCACACTCATCTGGTGCCCTCGGGAAGTGGAGATGTTTGAGATGTATATATATCTCGAACTCTCTACTTCTTTTGTGATGATGATGAAATACTACTACTACTTGATGAAATAAACGTATAAATGACCCCTCA